CACCCGATATTAAGGTATCGGGTGTCTGAAAAAGGTTAACCCTTTCATTAATGAATGCCTCTGTAGTAAGGGCAGCCATTAATGAATGTTAAAAGCTGATTCTCAGCGATTAACAGCCCTCTAAAGCAGCAAATAACTCGTCACGTACAGTGTACGTGACAAGTCATTTGGTCCCTTTGTGGCTGGACGTACAGTGTACGTCTCCCGTCACGAAGGGGTTAAATGGATTTCATTGGGTTATATTCTCATTTAGTAGTCCTTTTACACAATGTCCATTTGAGCTGAGTTGATCTACATAGCCACATATAAAACGGTTGTTTTCACTGCTCACAGCTTACAGGTGCATTGTGCTGCATAAAAGTGCCGACTGTCTGCATTTTTACAAAGTGCAACGCATGTCACCACAGCACATTCTAACACGCCACGGTGCATAGAGTTGAATTAAGGCTAATTGCCATTTTGTTTGCTTCTATTCACACAGAGGAGTTCATTCAAATTCACAATACGCTGCCCATGATTTAGCTTTAGAGTTGAGCTGTCCTTCACATTGGCAGTGTTCAAATTAATAGATACAGTCTGTATTTACACTGCGAACACCAAAATAGCATTGTCCAAATATTTACTGACATGTCAGCATAATGATCAATTAAATGACTAGATTTCAGTAAAAGTAAATGATTTCTCAAAGAAGCTCAGGCAGGGTGTAATTGTCTGCCCCTGCTAACAAGGTACTTGTTCTTACCCAAGTTCATAGCAATGCACTTTCCTTTTTTATCAACTTGTTATATATTCTTTTTTAAAGTAATGTGTTTGTCCACTTTTGTTCTGTTTTTTTTTCTGGAAAAAATCCTACATGCTGCAGTTTTGGAATGTCGGTTATAGACTGACACAAAAAAGGACAACTTTAATCTTTAAAACGCTAAAAAAAAATTCCTTGCTTCAGGTCAGTCATATTTGACCTGTGATTTCGTAGGGTAACGTATAAACAGGCTTTTAAAGACGTTTAGTCGATTTACATAAGTGCTTTATGTTAAGATTCATTCTTACTGTGTGTTCTTCCATTGTTTAGCAGGCAGCTTAACCACTTCAGGACTGTCGTGTGTATAAATATACGTAGTCATCCTAAAGTGGTTATAACAAGATCATTTGTACCCGCTTGTGAATGTACTGCCAAATCCCCCCCACCCAATTTTGCACTTGATCATCTGTATTGGAGGGCAGGGGAGACATCAGGGGTCTAATACCCCCTGGAGACCCCTGGTGTCTCCATAAAGCTGGGATGGCCAAACTGCGACCATCCAGCTGTGGTGCAACTACGAATCCCATGAGGCTTTGCAAGATTCTCACAGCCACAGACATGACTCCCAGAGAGAGATGCTTCATGTGATTTGTAGTTTCACCACAGCTGGAGGGCCGGAGTTTGGCCATCCCTGCCATAAAGAGAACCAGTCACCTCCCAATGCTATCACATAGGGGCTGTTTTGCCACTTTATAAAGGCAATAAACTTGAAGTTATTAAAATGTAAAAGCAACCCTGCCACCCCGACCATCTGCATGTGCATGCAAACACAATCGCAGGGCATGCACGTGCACACGGCCATGCGCAATTTTAATGCTTGTCATGTTTGGTATCTATTTAATTGATGTGACCCCTCATTTTTATATTTTGCAAAAGAAATTGGTATACTATTATGTGCACTAAAATGTATTTTAGTGCATTTTGTCCTAAAAATATCAATTTGATAAACGTTTGCTCATATATCGTGCAACACAAAAATAATGCAGTGGGTTTTTTTTTACTCTCCAGGGCCTCCACTTTCAGAAAAGATATAAATGTTTTAGGAGTTTAAAGTAATTTTTTTTATCCAAAATTTCTGATTTTAGCATTTATGAAGATAAAGAAAATAAGATGTTTTCTAGGGGTGAAAAAATGGGTAGAAGTGCTAAGTCCAGACGGTGACGGAATTAATTGTGACTTTTAAGGCGACATAATACAAACCATTATGTTACATTTGCTTAAAATTGTGTTTTACACAATTTAAAAGCTTGATAGAAGCCACTCAAAAATATTGGCAATAGCATATTTAATCAAATATTTATGTACCACCCGTACATTCGTTTATGTATGCACAGTAGGACAGGATACATTCTCAACTTGTTTCACAGAAAACTGCTTCCTCAGGAGATATGGGCAGAAGATTTATAAAATGATAGCTGGTCATTTTTATCTAAAGTTTACTTTAATATACTTTTGTGATGTGTAAAATAAAATCCTACATTTAGAGCCGGTCGTCTGCCATTTATATTGTTTTGTGTTGTTTACTCTTTTTTGTGTTTACCTTTTCTGCCATTATTGTGTGCAAAACATTAACTCTATTAAATGTTTGTTAATTTGTTTATATCACCGTCTCAGTCTCACAAAATATTTTATTTCCGTTTTTTTTTTTTGTATGTTTAAGGAGGGTGTTGACTGGTGGTAATGTTTCTCTTGGGAGGGTAGAATGCTGGTATAGCAAGGTTTTTTCATCTGGTCCACTTATTTTTGTGGATTCTATGCTTTCCTTTCGCCTGGTATGGCAGGGTCTAATAGGGGGGCATTACTCCTGCTTGGCCGCTCCATCACCCACCCCTGCCAGGCAGGTGTAGTTGAGGTTGTTTGAATCCCTCACCCAATGTGGGTAGAAGTGGGTAGCACCTTTTAACCCGTGTGTGTGCTTGTGTCGTGCGCTTCTGTGGCACACTGATGACATCACACATTGCATCAGCTACAGCCTGTGTAGACTTCATCATGGTGGGAGATATAAGGAGAGCCACTTTGAGGGTAATTGTCCCTCCCCTTTAAGCAATCTGGCCACATTTCTGTTTTTCTGCACTGGGTACGGCATTTATTTATTTTTTAGCCCTTTCCACTTTTTTTTTCATTTAATTTTAAGATCTTACTCGTTTACATTGATGCTGCTCCGGTGAATGGTATCATTATATAAGGCATTAGTAACTTTCTCTTCTTGCATATATCGGGGTACTCGACCTGGCATAGATCTGTTAATAAGCTAGCCGAGCTACCGTTTCTACCCTCACAAAGTAATACTATCCTAGTAATATATTGCATGAGTTTTATTGGTAATCTAGACAATAAATAAAAACATCACATGCCGTAATTACTACAACCTTTTGGATATGTTTATATGGAGGTTTATTTTCTCATTTATTATTAATTTCTAATATAGTAGCGTATGCTTCACATGCATTGCCATGGAGTTTTACATGAGATGTTGTTGTTATATAGATTAAATGCTGTCCTAGTTTTTTTACTGGGATGGATACTTCCATTTTAGTCATTTGTCCCTAATGCATTAGTGAAAGCGCAATTGTTAAATATAACTTCTGTATTATATCACATTAATTTACCTTGCATCCTTTTTTTTGTGTATTTTAGTTTTACGTGACATTATTTTGTAGGATCATTGCAGCCCCACTTATTTACTCATTGGGGTGTTCACTTTCCTTTTTGGATATGTATTTCTTATGTAGCAATTAGTGTTACATCTGATAATTGAATAAGTAATACTGATATACCATATACAGTTGTGGGGGATCTATCAAAACTGGAGCAGATTTGCACTGCAGCCAATCAGCATCTCTCTTTTTTTCAAATCTTACCTGAGCAAACTGAAGAGAAGCTGATTGGTTGCCATGGGCAACTGCTCCAGGTTCTGTCTGCTCCAGTTTCGATAAATCCCCCCCCTCCCCCCACCCCAGTATATTTTTATTACACTCTTTCACCTTGGATTCTTTATAACTGGGTGAACAGTTTCACATGCATTGGCATTCTTTTTTAGATTTGCCTATTTTTTGTGGTCTGGATTTTCCCTTTTTTTAATGTCCCCAGTGACCTCCCACTGCCAATGTAAGTGGTTGAATCAACTTATAATATTGAGGAGATTATTCATATGTATATTTATAGGTTCTTAAGGAAGCAGTTTTCTGTAAAATGCATTAAGAAAGTGCCCTGTCTCACTGTATAATACAGTTGACCTTTTGGAATTTTTTTTAAAGGAACCCGTGTTTATGCATTTGGAAATGTGTAAATCTGATGGATGTGTAAATTTGATTAACCCTTAAATTTGCGTAAAACAAATCTTAGCACTTGAAACCAGTTTTGCAACTTTGGCATATGTTAGCAAAACTGTACATCTCCTTGCAACTTCTTGGTTGAGAAAGAAAGAAAAACTGGACCAAAATAGTAAAAAAATAAATAAAAATGAATTCTTAAAATAAAAATCTTTTAAAACTTTATCTGTATATTTATTGCCATTACCATGACTCGGCACAAAAAAAAAAAATTCAAAATGCATTCTACTCCTGACATTCATAGCAATACCACATACAGTAGGTGTACATTATTTGTACCTGTGGCAGGGCCTTGAAACAATGCCTTTTTTTTTCCTACCTAAAACACACTGACGCTAACATATAAACTAACCGTAACGCTGACACTAACCTAGATCAGGCCCTGATGTAACTATTTTTATATTTATTTGTTCCTACTAGACTAAGAGCTGTCGGTAAGACCGAAGTCTGCATGCTATGGAATGCACTTTCAGCACAAGCATGGGTATGCATGTATGCGGCTGCTTGGAAGAAGTACCACCTCCATATTGCAGCATATGTGCACATACGCTCAGTGGTAACATGTTAAACAGTGGGCAACAGTAAATTCTTTAATTGCCCAGATTTTGTTTTTGACATTCGAAAGAGGCAACCTGTGTCTTTCAAAAGGAGAGAAGCAATGCCAGCCACCAGTTTTTTGTTTTGTTTTCTGAAAAAGTTTTCTTAAACAGTTAACTTACATTGCATTAGTTTTGTACTGTTTGATACATGATATAAACCAGAGTTCTGTTGCTTTTTTTAATTATTTTGGCAGGGATGAATTTGTATTGTTTTAAAAAGATGCATACATTTTCACTGATGTATTTATGTTAATGTGTTCTAATTCTTAGATACCCAGAAAAACTGTTTACGATCAGCTAAATCATATCCTTATATCTGATGACCATCTCCCTGAAAACATCATCCTTGTGAATACTTCTGACTGGCAGGGCCAGGTAAGTTACTATATAGCTGTGACAAAAAGTAAGCAGATTTATATCTGCCATTAAAGCTGAACTGTGGGCGAACGCTTATATAGACATAAAGACATTATAGACACATACTGTATAGACATTAATAATATATGGGAGCTGTTTTTCCTGCCAGATGATTTGCATTTCTATTCATACAATTCTGGGAACTGCACATCCTTGTCACACAGCACAGACAAAAATAAAAATACACTGCTGACATCAACCTGCCCCAGCCCGATGATTGCACGAGGAGCAGCAACGGACTGATCAGGCACTTTTTGCTTTCCCATTCTGTGAGCTTGTTTCTTGCCAACATATTTGCATGCAGCTCACCTAATTGGCTCATAATGCTACCTCTAACTAGCACAGTGAAAAAGGTCAGAAGCTCAGATCAGGTTTTTACCTGTCAGGTTGAACATTGTCACTCTATATCTTTGCAAGCCTAAAAAGTTTGCCCAAACAAGAGATGCTGGGGATTTTATTCTAATGACTTTGTATGTTGACAGCCCTGTGTGAATTGATATAGCCTTTAAATCCATTTATAGCTTTAAAAATAATTGTAAATATTTGTGGTGTATTTATGACTGCATTGTAACCTATAATAATGCATGATTTGCTCAACTCTTCTGAAATGTGCAGTCAGTCTCCAACATTTTTATTTTGCCTTGTGCTTTCTGTAGCATGACCCACAATGCACTGATATACAATAGTAGTAGTATTATACTTGATGTATATAACGGCAACAGTTTGTGCAGAGCTTTATAAAGTAAAGGGAGGAGGTGATGAGGGAGCTAGTGATCAGGTGGTCCTGGGAGAAGTGATGTGGACAGTTTAGGTGATATTTTGAGATGAGGGTGGTGTACCAGACAGATGGGATTGGGGATGGCTTTGTATGTTGGTAGTTTTAATTTTCTGAGTAGACTTGTGTCCGTTTTTAAGAGGTTTCTTAAGATTTGGGGCCTGAAGGCGAAGTCAGAGTCCAGGATTACACCTAGCAAACTGGCATGAGTGGAGGAGCTGATAAAATGTGCTACTGATCTTGGAAGAAAAGTTGGGAGGGAGGAAAAATTATGAGCTTAGTTTTGAGAAGAGTTTAAGAATGTGGTGTGCAATCCATACTGAAATGTTCGTTAGTAGATTAGTAATGCATGAGGAGACAAAGGGTAAGCTTTAGAGTAAAGAGATTTTTGGCGTAGAGATGATTTTGGAAGCTGTTGGAGATTATCACCTGACTCAGGGAGGAGGCGTAAACGGAGAATAACAGTGGTCCAAGTGCAGAGCCTTGGGGGACCCCTACAGAAAGAGGAGATAGCGTTGTATGTTACACTAAAGGTACGCTGACATAGACAGAAAGGAGAAACAGGAGAGAGCAGAGTCTTGGAGGCTAAAGGAGTGAGTTTTTTTGAGGAGGCGGCGGTTATTAACTGTACCAAAACTTTCAGAAAGGTCTAAGATTATGAGTATGTGCTAGTAGCCATTGCCTTTAGCAGTTATATGGAGCATTTTTGTTAAGTTGTTGGTGGAAATACATTTATAAGGTTTAAGGTTTAAAGTGGACTTAAACTCCAGAAGTAAAAGATTTACTATATTATATTGGTAACATCTAAAAATTTTATTTGTGCCTAAGCAATACCCTGAAAAAACATTTCTATGAATGTTCATTTACATCAGTGCACTACAGTAACCAAACATTATGTGCATTAGTATGTTTCCTTGTTTGTGAAAGGCACCCAAATGCACTTGCCACACATTTAGGTTGCACCGCAACGTGCAGTAACGCACTAATGCACTTTGTGGGGTGCTGCATTATCTAAACTTTGTGCAGCAGCAATTATTGATCCATTGTGATGCATTGGCAGCCCATGTAAATTAATATGCAAAAAAACTGGAAGGTTCAATAACCCTTTAAATGTCTTTTGTGCAAGTGGGCAGGTGAAAGACTGGGTGGATATTAGGGCTGTCTATGTGTAAAAGAATAAAAATGCCAATGGAAGACCACATTTTCAAATCATACCCATGCTATTTTATTCCTGCGTACCTTTACCACAAGCATGAAAATGTTTTGGTAATCTGCATGCATCTTTTACAGTTTTGAAAATACATCTTTGATTGAATTCTTTTATTGTCTGTTACATGTGAATTTGTTTTAATTACTATTGATTTTTTAAGGGATCTACTTGGATGATGAATTTGAAAATAACTTTGGTCTCTACTTTTGTAGCTTCTTTCAGAAATCCTGCAAAAACATGACCTTCCTTTAGTCTGCACCTTCTCTTCAGCTGATATTCAAGCTGCTTTTAATACAATAGTATCCAGGATACAACGGTAGTAAGTATCTCGATTTCTAGTTTCTACAAGCAGTTGAGTTTCTGTGAGTAATTTGAGCAGTTTTCCAGCTTTTCTTAAGGTTCATAAGTGAATATTGCCACCACCTTCAGTTTTTCATCACTACTTTGTTAACTAGCCAGTGTTCTCTGCGCCCTTTCTTGGTTTTTTGAATATTTTTTTGAATAAGTGAATATACCTGCCCAACTAAGTCTAATGTTTCACTGACTGTGCTTTTTATGGACCAGTTTCTACTATTCTGTACTCTTAGGAGTTTACAATGTAAATACGCAGCCAAATTCTTCCAATAGCGTTTCTTAAAAAGTGACCCTAAACTTAGGAGTTAAAGGAGAACTATGGGTTAAGTGTTTTTCCCCATAGTTCTCCTAAGGGTCACAGGAGGACACAAACTAGCGTCCTCCCGTGACCCAAAGCTCAGTATATTGCGAGCTACAGCTTGCGGTATACAGAGATTGCCGCACCCGGGACGGATCCTGACAGTACACTAAATGTGAGATTGTAGTCCATCACGGGCAGTGTCAGACAAATTTAGAGATGATTTGAGGATCTATAGCTGAGTAATGCACAAAAAAGGTCCAGTTGTTATATGACTGCATCTTTTAAGATTTAACTCCTGAGTTCACTGTCACTTTAAGGTACAGGAGTGTAATAATTGTTTGAAACCTTCTCAATGTTTCGAGTTTTCTAGAATATTGGGCAATTTACTATATTTTTGCTATAATGAAGCCAATGTACATTGATTTTAAAAAAAGGTGGGGGGTGATGCCTCATTATGAAGGGCAATAAATGCTTCTTGTACAACTTAATGACAGGCTGATAGGAGTCAGGGCTGTCCACTGTTGTAAGTCCCCTGGCTCCTTTCAGCCCATCAGTGAGTAGTACGAGCAGTATGCTGCCTGTACTGTCACACCATGGCCAACTTAGGATGTGCGAGTCAGGCCTTATATTTAAAGGAGATATAAATATTTGCTGTGTTATACGTCTAAGGAAATCTTATAAAGTATGATGTTGCTTTTTTTCTTGTAGCTGTAATTGCAATTCACAGCCTCCTAATCCTGTGAAAGTGGCTGTAGCAGGGGCTCAGAATTACCTCAGTGCTGTGCTCAGACTGTTTGTGGAGCAGCTGTCACACAAGACTCCAGACTGGCTGGGATACCTGCGGTTTCTTATCATCCCTTTAGGTAACCAAAGAAAGCATATTTGTCCATCCGGAATAAACCGTGCAAACAGCAATGTTAAGTAACCCATAGCAGCCAAAGAAATCATTTTACTGAAGTCAAAGCTTTTATTTGGGATATGTTGAATTGTCACAGGTATTACATTTAGCATCATCTTCCTTGTGCTATGTTTTGACTAAGGCAAATAAATTCACTTAAAATGAAACTCCATAAGAGTTTCAGCTCCTCGGGTTGCACATTTGCGAAGTTCTATGGAAAGGATGTGGCAGCTTCGGCCAAGGCCTCCTTTGGTGAAGATTTAGCAAGTGGCTGTGCAATCAACTAGACCCATTACAAAGCAGTTGTGATTTTTTTTCCCACCATTTATGTTAAACTACTTTTGGACATCCAAGTGGTATACTGTGTCCCCCAGTGATCCACTTAGAGAAAAAGGGATTTTTTACATTTTTGTGTTTTGTTTTTTTTTTGTGTTTTTTTACACCCGCCCCTGCCCACATGCAGATCCTGTCCAGGTTATTTTTTTTATTATTGTAAGGCCTGTTGCCTTGGTTTAAAGGTTTACCTTATTCAACCCTTTTTACTGCTAGCTACAACTGAGGTTGTCTGTGCAAAATGGTATAGCCCACAAGAAGGAACTAAACCTTCTGCTTAGTTTCTACTGTGTCTCTCAGTGAACTACTGGTGTACAAAAATCCCTTTATTAAATGCATGGTGGATTGTTTGTAAAGTGAAATTATGTTCTGCTTCTGCAGGTTCTCATCCTGTGGCCAAATACCTTGGCTCTGTGGACTACAAATACCATAACCTCTTCCAGGATCCAGCCTGGAAAGATCTCTTCACAAAACTGGATGCACAAGCTTCAGGTAAAAAGCTTGATCAAGGACTATTCTTCTTTTTTTAATTTTTATTAAAAGGGGTGTACTGCTTCTCGTAGACACAACTATACATTCTGCAATTCCTCAGCAGCTAGAGGGGCTGCACCAGGGACTGGCAGTGACAATTCATCTCTATGCATCAATTAATTTATCAGTTAGGCATGATACAGGTAATAAAAGAAAAAAATGTGGTATGCGCAAGGAAATATTACATTACTGCCACTGTCTGTCTTTAAAAAGATACCAAGGGTGCCACAAAAATGGTAATGGAGTCCAAGGTAGTTTTTTATTATTGGAATATCAGCTGGGTATACCCTGCTGATGTTTCATTAGTAAAAAAAAAGATATACTTTAAACTCTAACTGTGGTTGTGACACCCTTGGTATCTTTACTGGATTAACCGAAGGTCTTTTCTTCGGTTTAGTCCTTTGTTGTTTGGGAGCAGCCACACCAAGCCATTTCGGCTTGTTGCAGTGCCTTGCAAAAGTATTTGCATCAAAAATCACATCACAGCATCATAACATCCATTATAACAAAATGGAAAGAATATGGCCCAATACAAACCTGACAGGAGAAGGCTGCCTCCCAGAACTCACAGACCAGGCTAGAAGGGCATTAATCACAGATGCAACACTGGAATGAGCTGCAAAGAGCCACAGCAGAGTATCTGTCCATTGAACCACTTTAAACTGTACACTCCACACAATGGGTCTTTATGGAAGAATGGCCACAAAAAGCTATTTCTAAAAGAACAAAAAAAAGAATACATGTTTGGAGTTTGCCAGACAGCATGTGGAAGACTCCCCAAACACATGGAAGACAGTTCTCTGGTCAGATAAGTCTAAAATTTAGCTTTTTGGCCATCACGAGAAAAGCTATGTGTGGCACAAACCAACACTTCACATCACCCTGAGAACAGCATCCCCACAGTAGAGCATGGTGATGGCAGCATCATGCTGGGGGGTATGTTTTTCTTTAGCAGAGACTAGAAAACTGGTTAGGATTGAAATAGTTGGCACCAAATACAAGGCAATTTTTGAGGAAAACTTGTTTCAGTCTGCTACAGATGTGAGACTGGGGCAGAGGTTACCTTCCAGCAGGACAATGGCCTTAAACATCTAAAGCTTCACTGTAGTGGGTTAAAGGGAAACATAAATGTCTTAGAATGGCCAGGTCAAAGACTTTTGGGGGTGAATATTATGCACACTCAAGATCTATGTTTATTTGGTCTCCTCCATTGTGTGTTAGAATAAAAATTATTTTGCGCCTACAAAGTGGTAGGCATATTGTCTAGATCAGATAGTAACGCCCCCACCCCCCAAAAAAATGTAATTTCATTTTAGTTCAGGTTGTAATGCAATATAACAAGTGGGATGAAGGCACTATAAACGGGTCAGTCATCCCCAATGCTAGACACCTATAACAGAAGATTTTAACGCCTCACATTTATTATATATGTTCCACTGTCTGTCTCCAGGTTTCTGAAAGGCAGATCCACTCAAGTGAAAGTAAACACAGATGTACTTTGATAGGTTTTCAGTATTTACTGTCCAAAAATTGGCAAGGTCTAAACTTTGGTACCCGTAAATGGGTCCAAACTGACCTGTTGTTTTCAGAGCACCTCCTGCCTTCTAAAGACATATGTTTGTTTTTTACTGATTCATTTATGTTTTTACCCATGCATAAGACCTGCAAACTGCACTGCTAGCACATTCATGTCAACTGGCTTTAATAAATGTTTTGGGTAAATACCTCTACAATTTAGGTAAATAATTGTAAATTTGCCCATTAATGCGTTTTGTTTTTCTCTCTCTATCCTTAGATTTTTCCCCCCTGTCTGCAGTACAAGACCCTCCAGATGTAGTTTCTCGTGTTACACAATATATTGCTGGAGCAAACTGTGCACATCAGCTGCCCATAGCGGAAGCTATGCTAACTTACAAACAGAAAAGGTATCTTGTGTGTCTTTTAACTTTTCAGAATAGGAAATTACTTTTGAAATATGTAGTCAGTATTGATAAACATTTTTAATGCTAACGTGTGCGCTATAGTTAGATAAAGGGTCTTTATACCATGGCATTTTAGCCTCCGTATTTCAACTTGCATGTTGAAGTCTTTAAAGTGACAGTAAACTCAGGAGTTAAATCTTAAAAATGCATTCAAGTACCCAAATATTAACAAAAATTTATCTTTGTGTATTACTGGGGTGTAGATCCTCAAATCATCTCTAAATTGGTGCCAACACTGTCCTTCCTTCTAGAGGATGGCTACTTTTGTTCCCCATGGTCCCTGTGTGTGTTGTAAAGTAGCCACCGCTCCAAACTTACTCCCGTGATGGGCTACAATCTTATGTTTAGTTTACTAGTTTGTATTGGGATTGTAGTCCATCACGGGAGCGAGCTAGCTACCCTCCAGAAGGAAGGACAGTGTCGGGATGAATTCAGAGATAATTTGGGGATCTACAGCTGAGTGATACACAAGTTACATTTGAGCTCCTCAGCTTATTGTCACTTTAAACTAGTTTCATGTAATCCTAGCACTGAGACTGGGGGAGTGGGGTGTACAGCACTCTGGGACAATCGGGGCTCTGTTTTTGAAGTGTTTTCTGTCTAACATTGTGACTATTGTAGAAGGGGAGAACACGCATTGTGCTACTTCTTTATTCTTCTATAATCACCAGACTGAGCGTGGGTTATAAGGAAGCTCAGTCTGCAGCAGCTGTTCTATCCTACAGCCACTCTTGCACTCATCTCGTGGGTGATTATTGGAATGAAGAGCTGCTGATGTTCTGCCTCTGTAATGCCACCCTCACCTAGCCTGCTAATTTTACGGCAAGATTGTTGTTGAAATCTACACATGGAGGAGAGTTGCAACTGTGAACGTAAGGTAGCACATTTATTTGGTCAACATGATTTGATCCTGAGATATTAGTCTTGAATTCTGTCTTATTCTTCTAATATCCTTTTTGCTCCCTCTTTTGGTAAAATCCTAAACCCTTTCCAATTAAAGCTTTGTTTTACTTTCTTCCTTGCACTTTTCTACCTTTTTTTTCTTTTTTTTTTTTTTTTTTTTTTTTCTTTCTCTCTCTCTTTTCATTACAATTGGTTATCCCAATAAGACTGTTAAAAGTGGTGTTCACCAGATTGGGTTCTGTAAAAATGTCAGGGCATGTTGCACATTCTTCAAAGTGGTCTATTTAAAAGCATTTAGCATCTTCTTTGCTGGCATTCCTTAGAGTTATTGTTTGTAAGCTCTGTAGCCATCAATAAGATATTGCATACTTAAACTGAAATGCAGCAGATTACCCAAAAATGTTGGGTCACCAAGAGCTTTTTGCTGTGATGTGCAAGTGTGCACAGCATATTTGCACATTACGGCAAACTTACCTAGCAAGACTAACTTTCAGCGTTGTGATGCCCACACTCCCCTAATTTTTATTATTATTCATGATTTATATAGTGCCGACAGTTTGCGCAGCGCTTTACAATATAAGGAAGACCTTACAATCACAATACAATTCAAGACAAGATGGTAAAGACGGCCCTGCCTGTGAGGGCTTACAATCTAATAGGGAGGGGTAAGTGATACATGAGGAGGTAGCTGTGCGGGGTTGAATTGTTTGAGAACGTGATGGTTAGGTTGAGGTGGGATAGGCTTCCCTGAAGAGATGAGTTTTTAGCGATTGCTTCCGGTTTTCTGGGTTTGCAGTCTCTGGCCATCTTGATTGGCCGGAATGGTGCAATACCCACACGTGCACATGAGTTACTGCACCCAGGCACAGAGTCGTGCCAACACTGTAAACTGAGCTGCACATTTGTGACTCATTGTACACCTCCAAAAATCCTGACAGGAAGGGAGAAGCTTCTATGGCCTAAGTAACATGCACGGTATGTTCTGTCATTAAGGTGCACCTGTCAGTATTTTCTTTTTTTTCTTCTCTAAAATATTTTGTGTCATAACTTTAATTTATTAACTTTACTTTGGGGAGATTTCTATTCACTTTCTGTCCAAAAGACATAGCAGGGAATAAGAGGAAATCTCCAAACAGCAAAAATTAAAAGGGATTTATACCCTTTGCTACTCTAGGTTTTGGCTTTGCATACACTTTAATGTTTTTCTTTAGTGAAGAAATAATGGTGGAATGTGATCACATTACATTTTAGGGAGAAATGTTTGTGCTTTTCATTTCTTTATTCTTTAAGTGTTATTTTTAACACCTTTTGTGTCACCAAAACTAATATTGCATTGTGTCTTATGATATCTTTAAAATGGTCTCTAACAGACTGTTGAATGAGAGCAATTTAGTGATGTAACTTTCTTTTTTCCATTCGTGGTTGCATTCTGAAAAGGAAAAAAAGTTTTCATTTTGATTTTATCTTAAGGTATTATATGCTGCATTACCTTTTCTATCCTGCATTTCTAAGCTTTGTTTAACATAGCAAGCAAATTACAGGTGGTTATTTGGATAAGCTATTTGTATTTAAATTCTCTTAAATGAAAACACTTTTATATTAGGAGAACAAAACAAGTCTGAATTGTATGCCCTTAGCCAAGATGTAGTTTATTTAAACATAAACTAACTTTTTGATCAGTATATAAATTGACTCCCCAACGATTTTCCATTTGCTATAATAAAGACCGCTGTAACACTAGGTATGTTTCCATAATAGCATTTATTTTGATACTCTATTAATGACTTCCAGCTTTTGCATAAGAAGTATTTTACAGTTTGTCATCATCCTCAGCTTGCAGGTTAAACAAATTTTTAGTCTGGGTGATTAATGGGCACAAGACCTGGCTTTGTTACTGAATGCTTGTTTGCTATTAATTGCTGCAGTATTTTTTAATCCTTCTCTTAGGTAAAATATTTATTTTTAACATTTTCCAGCATGTTCTGCTTCTTCTGGTTAATTGTAATCTAACATGCGGAAACACCCTCCTGCTTCCTGATAAAAAGCTTGTTCTGTCAGCCTTCTCTAGCATGTATTGTCAGTGATTGAAGTGATTACCAACTTTACACAGTTGATCTGATATGTTGTTTGCTATACCAATCGATATTAAAGCATGCATATCTGGTCTGACATGTAGTAGTTTACTGTAAGTTCAATCACATTTGTTTCTAATGCTTTACATTTCAGTAGTGCAAGTAAGCTTACTTTGTACTAAAGGTACCCATAGACATTAGATGATTTCTGATTTGGACAGGAACAAGTGCCAGTCAGATGTCTCTAACTTCCCTCAGACAACACTAGACTGTAGATTGTTTGCTGATTTAGCCAAAGGTCTTTACGATGGGGCGCTGTATTTCATAATTTCTTTGCTTTTAGAGGTGTTTTAATAAAAAGACTTTCATGCTCATTTATTGTCATGTTGTACCCTGCCCATGTCTTACTAAAGTCCCAGGTTCCCTGTATAATAATGTACGCCTTGCTAGGCAGAATGTGACATAGCTATTGCATCTTGCATATCTGTCAGAGGGGCGTTTAGTTTATCTGCAATGCATATCTTCACCAAAATGTTCTGAGAAGTTATTGCTGTTTCAACACAATGGGGTCTGCTATGTAAAGAAGTGCTGAAATGGTAAATACGGTCAGTAGCACCATGGGCAAGATGGTCTTCCTGCTATATACAGGTACCGTCTTACTGCAACATTGTTTCCCGAGTATAGATGAAAGCCATGCTAAAAATTTTGGCATGTAAACTAAAATATTTTTTTAGGTGTTTTTATCTGGCTGAGATGTTTTGTCACAAGCCAACATTAGTATTGTTTTTTGTTTCTTGTTTCTCATATTCTTTTTGTTTAAATTGCTCTAAAAAAAATATTCTTTTCTTCTTCTTTTTTTTTTTTTTTTTAGGAAAGTGATATATTCTTTGTAAATTTACAGACCAAAAAAAAAACCTTTTAATAACTAGGATTGGTTGAAGAATCTGTATTTTTTTTTTTATTTGGTTGATTTGCATTTGATAAGTTTTAATTGCTGCAAGTCATGGTTAAAGTGGACTATTTGCTGGAGCTTTATCATGTGTATGTGCTTGGTGCATGTGTACTTGAGATGAAACTGCGCTTAGTATATTTTAAGAGATGACGTCTTGTTAAATACGTATAACTGATCTAATTTTATCATTTTTGCTTGTAGTCCTGATGAAGATTCCTCACAGAAATTCATACCTTTTGTAGGGGTGAGTATTCACATTTCAGTAGATTTACAGATGGTACATCAAATTTACTATATCACTGGTATAAACCTAGCACTGTAGTAAATCGTAAACATTCAAATGATCATCTCTATTTCAGAGACAGGATGCATAACCTAAGGCTATAAATACTTAAAGCTAAAATCCTTTTAAGGCAATGATGTGTACTGTACCTGTTTTAATTGAAGCAGAATTTTTGTTTTTGTAATTGTCCATGAATAATTTGACTAACATCTGACCAATATGTAAAGTAGGTAATACCTGCATACTTTATGTTCAGTTGTATTACATTTGGGTGTATTTGATTTCAGGTATGCCACGTTTGTGATTCCATCGTCCAATCATGTCCTTTTGATAAAAAAAATATTAATTGGAAATGCCCACAGACACTTATTTTTTTTTCCCAACTGAAACATAAAAATTTTACAAAATATGAAACTTTTGAAAATTTTTCATAGGCATAATGTTAGAAGTTGGTAGGGATACCCCAATACCAAGTATTTGGTACTCTTACTCGCCCAAATGCTCCTGATGCCTATCCCGATACTAGAACTTCCGGTATCGGGAAGCCGGGTAGCGAGTCATTACAAGCCAACCGGCTTCTCGTTGCTAGGGAGCATGGAGCTGGCTTCCTGGCCATCAGGAAGCCGGCGGGGAATGAGTCTCCTCCCAGCTTCCTTATTGGCCAGGAAGGCGGTTCCATGCTCCTTTGTCACTTGGTGGTAAGAGAGCATTCAGCTGGCTTTCCAGCCAATCAATAGGCCGGGCAGCGTGTAATGACGCGCCACCCAGCTTCCTGATTGGTTGGGAAGATGGACAATCGGGAGTCTTTGCTGTGAGTCATTACTAGCCCCCGTTTTCCTGATTGGCTACACGCTTCCTCATTACCATTTCCCAGTGCAAGAACTTGCCTCCTGGAACCGCTCAGCCCCTCTGGCTGAGAGTCCTGGGTGTCTGCGTTGCCAGCATCTTGCATGGCAGTGCGACGCACTGCCACATACCGTAAAAAGGAGACGGCCCTCCATAGGATAACCAACATATTACAAAACAAAAGAAAATATTTTGTAAGTGTCCATAAACAAGATAGATTGTATAAAGAGTCTTGTGTAGAAATGTATAATAACATTGTAAAGTGGTCCAGTTTATCATAGGTGTGTCCCAGTGCTTCTTTTCTGAGCGCAGTATTACTAGAGGAGCCGAGAGACATCTTGCTGCTGTTAAAGCAGATCATTGTACCCACGATATGTGGGAAGGCACGAGTGACCATACTAAAATATTTTGCTTATGGTCCATATTAAATGATGAGCAGGACTAAGTGTGGATACGGGAGCACGGCTTTGCACTAAAACTCCGTTCATTCACTTGGATGTGTGAAGTGAAGCACTAGGACACAGCTATTGGATCACTTCAGTGTTGTCATACATTATTATTTAATATATCTTGTTTATGGATTATTTTTTATATTTATTATTGTAATATGGAATGTATATATATTTTGAATCACTGTTCTCTATAGATGCTCTATTTATATAGATTTTTTTTTAGTGTGCATTTTCACCATTTCAGTGGCAGCAGCTAGTTAAATATTCACAATTAGATTAACGCAGAAAATTATAAAAACAATTTTTGTGCCCTCACATAATATAATCTAACCATGTTGGATTCAATCAAATATTTTAGCAAATATCACTCTGCCGTACGCTTCTTTTTTACCTTTTTTTTTATTCCATGAAGTATTTATGCCAGGCTTGGATAACCCCAGAGCTCACACCTGATGGTCTAATAACAAGAGCTTAAAAATTCTAAAGTTTGGTCTGTGTTTAGAACATAAAACAATCCACCATTTTTTATAGAATATCTCTATTATTTTCCAATATATACACAATATAAACACACAAACATTATTTAGAGACCACCATATAATATTCCACTAATATGATAATAATAAAATCATTATTCCCAGCTAGAAAGAAGGCAAAGCAAAACAAAAAGCAGCAACCTAAAACCTTCCCAACCCTAAACCCCCCACTCCCCCCAAAAAAACCCATTCTCCTCTCCCTTCACAGTGACAGTACAGCTGTGCCTCTTTTTCTTAACAATCCACCCTTAGCCAAACTATTCACATATTTACAAATACACTGGATAACATCTCTCTGCGTAGAACGCGCTACAAAACGTTCAGGTGTGAACGAGGGCTAAAAGAAAACAAAGCAGCTATCAAATTTCTGAATATGGAGTCAAGTGGGAAAAATACCTTTTTAATATAACTAAAATAGCCTAATAATGGGCCGCAATTTGGAAGTCTCACTAAATGTTCTCTGGATGTAATAGACGTTGAAACAATATACAAACTTATAATGTGGCGTCATATGGTCCCCTCTAGAATAGCCGCATAAACCCCTACTACCTAAATGCTTCATTGAATGATGGACAAAAAGAGATGCTCTTTTATCTGGTTGATCTAACCTATGATGACAGGCTTTTGGACCCATGTTTTTAAGCTGCTGTGTACACTTTTCCATACACAATTACAAAAGCCATGGCTGGTATTACTGCATGGGCAAGCTGAGAATCTAGCTAGCATGCAACAAATATTAATGTTGGATATGTTATTAGCAGCTATGTTCCTTTTTAAGAAAACTTAATAAATATTGATTTTTTTATAGGTTGTAAAGGTTGGCATTGTTGAGCAGTCCTCAGCAACTTCAGGTTGGTTTCTGAGATTTCCTTATAATTGACAATGATTTCTATTCTTTAACATATGCTTGTGCGGTGGAAAAGTTGGTTGAGAATTTTTTCATGCAGTTGAGCTTGTGTTGTATATGTATTACAGTTGCTATCATTTTGTCTGTTTTAAACAGGAGATTCAGATGATGCAGCTCCTTCCAGTTCCATTGTACTTTCATCCACACCTCCCTCCGTCTCACCAGTTATCAAGGAAGCTTCTCCAACACCACCTTCTTCCCCGTCTGTTACAGCTGGGTTTTCTTCGCTCAGGTAGTAAACAACGCAAATTTATAGTCTTTCCTAGATAAATTACTTTTCATATAGTTTAGTCACATTTGTGTTGTCACTTACTGTAGGTCATTAAAAATAAAACGGTTAATCATCATTCACCATATGCAATCACAATAAATAACATAAATTATAGTGCATATCTAGGCATATGCTTTATAGATTGATATATACCGTGTTTCCCCGAAAGTAAGACCTACCCCGAAAGTAAGACCTACCCCGAAAGTAAGACCTACCCCGAAAGTAAGACCTACCCCGAAAGTAAGACCTACCCCGAAAGTAAGACCTACCCCGAAAGTAAGACCTACCCCGAAAGTAAGACCTACCCCGAAAGTAAGACCTACCCCGAAAATAAGACCTAGTGGCTTTTTTTGTGAAAAAAAAAAATATAAGGCACTGTCTTATTTTCGGGGAAACACGGTAGATTGCGCAACTCTTGAAAGCTGTCTACCTTTCATTTAAGGGCAATACACATATAGTACATTCAGAAAGTATTCAGACCCCCTTCACTTTTTGCAATTTTGTTATGTTGCAGCCTGAAACTAGAGTTGTTTAAATTCTTCTTCTTTTTTTTTTTCCCCCTCATTAATCTACGCTCCGTACCCCATAATGACAAAGTGAACAGAATTTTAATGTCTTTGAATTTATTAAAAAGATAAAACTGAAATATCACATTGGCATAAGTATTCAGACCCTTTGCGACAGCACTTGAAATTTAGCTCAAGTGCCTACCATTTCTTTCGATCATTGCTGAGATGTTTCTCCAACTTGGAGTCAACCTGTGGTAAATTAAATTGCTTGGACATGATTTCAAAAGACACACCCCTCTATAGAAGGCATCACAGCTGACAATGCATACGGTGTCAGAGCAAAAGCCATGAGGTCAAAGGAACCGCCTGCAGAGCTCAGAGACAGGATTATTGCAAGGCAGAGTGGCCTTCATCATTCTCAAATAGAAGATTGACACAACCAGGACTCTTCCAAGAGCTGGTCGCCCGGCCAAACTGAGCAATCGGGGGAGAAGGGTCACTCTGACTGAGCTCCAGAGATCCTGTGTGGAGATGGGTCAAAGTTCCAGAAGGACAACCATCACTGCAGCCCTCCACCGATCTGGCATTTATTGCAGAGTGGCTAGACGGAAGCCTCCCCTCAGTGCAAAACATGTGAAAGCCTGCTTGTAGTTTGCAATAAAAGCACCTAAATGACTCTCAGACTGTGAGGAACAAGAGTCTCTGGTATGATGAAACCAACATTGAACTATTTGGCCTCAATTCTAAATGTTGTGTCTGGAGGAAACCAGGCACCGTTCATCACCTGCCCAATATCATCCCAACATTGAAGCATGATGGTGGCAGCATCATGCTGCGGGGGTTTTTTTAAGCAGCTGTGACTAAGGAGACTGGTCATGGTTGAGGGAAAGCTGAATGGAGCAAAGTAGAGGGATATCCTCAATGAAAACCTGATCCACATCGCTCAGGACCTCAGACTGGTACGAAGGTTCACATTGCAACATGACACTCATCCTAAGCACACAGCCAAGAGAACACAGGAGTGGCTTAGGGTCAACTCTGTGAATGTCCTGGAGTGGCCCAGCCAGAGCCTGACTTGAACCCTATTGAACATCTCTGGGGAGACCTGGAAATGGTTGTCCACTGACTGTCCCTATCCAACCTGACTGAGCTTGAGAGGATCTGCAAAGAAGAATGGCAGAAAATCCCCCAATCCAGGTGTGCAAAGCTTGTTGCGTCATACCCAAAAAGACTCAAGGCTGTAATTGCTGCCAAACGTGCTTCAACAAAGTACTGAGTAAAGGGTCTGAATGCCTAAGTACATGTGATATTGCAGTTTGTTTGTTTTTTATAAATTCACACACATGTCATTATGGGGTACTGAATGTAGATTATTGTGGGTAAAGAAAAGAATTTGAGCAACTGTAGCATCAGGCTGCAACATAACAAGATTGAAAAAAAGTGAATGAGGTCTGAATGCACTGTGTTCTACGTGTGCAGTTAACGACCGGTGACTGGATAATCCCTCCATGCGGTACAGTGATCGCTGGTCCATGGAGGGACCAGCACTCCATGAGTTACTGCTGTTGCTGGGTCCCATGGAGTCTGAGGCAGACCGGCAACATCAGATTAGGTGGTCCCAGACCTGTGGTCAGTGATAGCTGATTGCTGTGTTCACACAGCCATGACAGCCACAGAGTCTGCAGCAGCTCACTGTGTTATGCAATTGCGAGCCGGCTGTCTGTAACCAACTGGTACAAAGTATCTCTGAGGAGAATGCTGTATTCTCCTCGGAGATACTAAGTATCAAAGACCCTGTAAATAAAATAAAAACATATTTTGAAAATAAAAATTTTTTTTTAAATGTATAAAAAAAAGTAAAAACAAATAAAATACATTTAATAAAATATAGTACTGAGGAGGCTAGTAAAGATAGGAGACAAACATACCACATTCTAAAATTCCCAACTAAAATGGTATTTTGTGGCCTATAACTCCCAAAATGAACTGAAATCCAAGACATATGATATACCCTATAGATCAGGACAAATAAAATAATGTATTATGAATTACTTTCTGTTGCATATAATAAAGGGAGGTATGGAGTGCCACATCCCACATTAACACATTTTATTACAGAAAGCAAGGACGGACTTTAGGCACTCACATGACCATTATATAGATATAATAAAAATGTGTGTATTAATTCCATCATAAGATATATAAATACTTGATAGAATTAAAGGAGAACTATGGGGTAAGTGTTTTTACCCATTGTTCTCCTAAGGGTCACGGGAGGACATAGAGTAGCGTCCTCCTGTGAACCAAAGCTCAGTATATAGCGAGCTACAGCTCGCGGTATACTGAGACCGCCGCAGCCGGGACGGATCCCGACATTATTGAAGAGATCCACCCAGCTGTGTGATTGACAGCTGGCTCTGCCTATCTAGAGGCAGAGCCAGCTGTACCTGCCCCCTTCCGTTCCGCAAGTCAGTGCTTTTGGAGGGGGGGTAGGAAATTACTGCAGGGAGCCTTGAGTGACAGTCACGGCTCTCTGCAGGGACATGATCAAGAAGTGAGCGAGCGGCTGTGTGCGTTCGCTCACTTCTTGATCTATTGAGCCGACGTGCGACAGTTTCTTTGTCACACGTCGGCTCGAACTATGAGGTTGAGTGAAAATCACTCGCCTCATAATTCTCCTTTAAATAAAAATTTGATAGAATTACTGCCCATAATTATTGCGCTGCCCAGACATACATCACCTCCAAAAACGTATTCAAAATAAGTAACCCAAAGTCTACTTGTATTGAGAGTGATCCAAGTTGATAGAGAAAAATATATGGAGGGATATGAAGAGCTCAATGTGTTTTTCACTGTATTGACCGCTTCTTCAGGAGCAGCAGTGCAAAGAATGTGCTCATAACTTTAAACCAGCTGTTCTCATCCTGTGTAACCTCTGGACCCACATTTGTCGTTGGCCATTAAGTCGCGACCCAAGTCCCACTGCAAAGGACAGCACGGCATTGCGGTACCGCACGTTCCGGTGCGGGCGATCGAACTGCGGGTGAGAGGTGTGTTTGGAGTACCATTCAAATTAATGGCAACGCAACATACCTCCTACGCCAGAACGCGTACTAGGTGTGCTTGTATGGTACAGTGCGTTACTCTGGTCCAGGCACCTCTACTTGACACATGAAGCTGGAGCTGTAAGCAATGCACACATGGTTGGAGCTCCCTCATGGACATAGCCCCATCCTATCCCACCTCAAGCTGACACTCGATGCTGGGCAGCATATTTTGAATGGCTGCTTGGTGTGAGAACTGACAGTGCTGTGCTAGGGGGTGGCTGAGGAGCCTCCCACCTAGAAAAGTGGAAGGCATGCAGTGACCCACTGAACACGGGGTCGGGACCCACTTTTGGGTCGCGACCCACCAGTTGAGAACCTAGGCTTTAAACCATCAATATCCACGTCCACAAACTCCTCTTTAAGGATGCTAGTGCCTGAAGAAAGGTGGGCGGGCGCCAAGACGCATAATCCGCAGCCTCCTCGATTCCAACATATAGGTGAGTATCCCCCAAAAAGGGAGGCGAGAGAAAGGGGGAGCCCGATGAAGTCCCACACCATGAACACAGGGCAAGTGTGTAGCCGACTCTAATCACATGTGTTTGCCACACTAAGTGCATTTATACAGATGATATATGAAGACCCAGCTATAATTTGATCCAGAGCATTGCCTATGTGAGGTTAGAGTTTGAGCACTTTATAAATTGGACAACACTAAGAGGTGGACAAATCATGTGTTGTGCACTTATTAACATTATGCAATGTGGACTTAAGATAGTGCGTGTGTTTGCATGAGAGATTATCCACTGTTAACAGTTTATCTTGGTCTTTTCCCTAGGAAACCCTAAATTAAAAGTAATGAGGGAATAGTAGAAATACAGAGTAGCCATTGTTACCTTTTTCTTTTACCCCCCTCTTGTTTTCTGTAAACCACTGTGGTACTGACTGCTACAAAACTGAGGCAGTCTGGGAGTGGGAGGGGTTATACAGGGCTGTATTAATAGCTTTAATTTGCTAGTGTCCAATCACCTGAAGGTAACTTCATAACGCATCCATTCCAGAATGTCCTGTGTCCTGTAATGAAATCCAAGAATTTTACAGCTTAGACAAAAATCCATTTTTTTTTTTTACACGTAGAAGTATGTAATGGCAGCCCCAATGTCTCACTTGTAACTTCTGTAAACCTTTTTTATTATAAAGCCAAAGCCCAGGAAGTGAACTAATGGGGCTTCAATTGGACTACTGGATAGCTGCTCCAATCACTGAAAAGAAGAAGGATGCTGAGAAAAGGGAGTCGACATCTGGCAAGAACACTTTGAAATGCACTTTCCGCTCGCTGCAGGTCAGCAGGCTCCCCAACCACAGTGAGGTCCCAGCTGCTCCCACAATGTCAATGACAGTGGTCACAAAGGAAAAAAACAAAAAAGGTAACTATCTGAGTATAAAGTTAAAATAGAGATAAATATTTATGAAAAGCTAATATGAAAATTTGCTTTTTGTGAAATTTGTCAGTATATGAAATGAAAGACATCAAAATTACATATTTTATTGTATTGCTGTAAAATCGATATTTAGTTCATCCGCCTCAGTAGTCACTGAAGATGCACTGACCAACACAGCCTCAGGTTTAGTGCAAAAGAAATGGCTTGGTCTGTTGTAGAGCTATTGGAGAGATTATTGGAGCTTTCCTTCGATCCTTTAGGCTGTAAGGTCTATGAGGACATTTGGTGAATTCCCTGATATGTCTGATATACCAACATTCTCACAATTCTACCCGCAACCCACCTTTAAATCTACTTCTAATACCAAACCGGATCTTCAAATCCTGTACCTACAGCCCTGCAACCTACTTTTCTGCTACCAATTAAAGCGAAAAAAATACACATCCTATTATTAAAAAAAGACTAGCAGAGAGTATCAGTGTTGCTCCATTATGATGTACTACAGTAAAAGAAACAAGTGGGGAACTGTTAGCAATGTAAGCAGCCAGCGATTTTATTTTTTAACCAAAAACGTCCCGGAATGCATCAAAAACACGGCAAAAAACGCGGTATAACGCACTGCGTGTGCAGAAATTCATGCAGATCTGGTCTGCATTTGGTGTGAACAAGCCCTTAGTATTCTGTCAGAGCTGGTGTGGGGAAGAATGGTGCAGGGCTTCCAGCCCTCCTTCTCTCTGCACCATCCTCCTCCCTTTTCCCTGTAACATAAAAAAAGGGGCCATTCTACCTCTGAAAAAGGTATCTCCTGGCTCCAGTGTCCACTTTATTCTGTTTATACTGCAAGCAGGGAGGGGAGTTTGCCAGCTCATTGCTGCTTGATTACATGTGGGAGAAATCAGTGCTGGATTATGTGAGACCCCTTTGCATCACTGGGCCCCATGCAGCCACTTGTTCTGGCCCAATGTAAATGAAGGTATATACAAGTTTCACTCTTATCACAGATCCCAAAAGTAAGGGATTCATTCTTATTTTAGGATAGTAGAGAGAGCCATGCATATCGTTTCTATATGCATGTGATGGGACTACATAAAATAAAACTCAAGATATGCAAGTATACATTATAATCAACCCTAAATGATAGTTTTATTGCCATACATTTTAATATAGAAATATATTTTTGACCTAATACATCCATACTTCAAAACAATAGTAAAAGGTGAAGAGAACATTGGTGGTGTTCTGTGGAAATTAACTAAAGACCAGGAGCCTTTAAAATGGGATACTTCGCCTTTTGTAGGTTCAAAGGTCTCCATTTATTTTACAGGAAGTCTATCTAAATTTTATATATGAGGAGACAGTAACTCAGATGTCCTTCCCCCTTATATACAGTTCACTGAGGATGCATTTGCACAATAGGTGTACAGCAAACTACCTGAAATGACATTGAAACAAACTAACTTACCACACAGACCAACCACTCCAACCTGGAGAGCAGGCCATACCCTGGCTTTCTGAAGCTGTTTGTCAGATACCCATCTCCTCTGTCAGATACCCATCTCCTCTGTCAGATACCCATCTCCTCTGTCCGATACCCATCTCCTCCGTTAAGAACCCATAGGTATGAACACAGATTGGTGCCATGCAGTGGGTCCCTAGATAGGGTGTCTGCATTCTAGGTTTTCTAGGGCCAGAAACTAAGCATTCCTTGTGGGAATCTACTGGCAATAAGGGCATCACAAGCCTCATGGACTTTACCCTTTCTTCCGTTCTGTCAATGGTATGCAGAAAAACCTCCATCATGGGGGCATCATTTTTGGGAGGAAGTGGCTTGCCCTAATTTCTCAGATTCCATGGGTGACTACAGTAGCCTTCTGGTTCTGAGTGTTAAGCTGCTCCAACACTTCTGTGAGGGCTTGCTTGTCTTTCTCTGAAGGTTGGGCCAAAGCTATCACATATGCATTCATGTATTTTCTCAGACCCACCACCTGGGCAGCCAGCAGTCTGTTTGCCTCTTGCTAGTGCACCACATTTCCCCGAAGCTTTACTCTGGGTTCTTCCGATATTTCGTTGAATTTTAAAGCCCAGAGGAAGAGGGCTGACGAGCCCCTAAACAAGTTGGTTGTCTTGTGTTTTCGCCTGTTGTCATTTGTGACTCGTTTGGTGCCCTTTTTGGAGAAAGATTCAATTGGCTGTTAGCCACATATGTACTATATATTTGTAACTAGCACAACCAGGCTAAAAAAGTAAATGTAGTAATTTATTTTTTTCAGTTATGTTTTTGCCTAAAAAGACTAAAGATAAAGAAGTTGAATCCAAATATCAATGCATTGAAGGCATCAGTAGATTGATTTGCACTGCAAAGCATCAACAGAATATGCTCAGAGGTAAGTGGTTTGTATCCTGCATCACTCTGTCCACAGAGGAGAAGGTAGAACTGGGCTAGTTTTATGTATCTAACCCACAAAAGTGACATACAGAGAGGAAAATAATGATTTGATCCCCTGCAGATTTTGTAAGTTTGCCCGCTTACAAAGAAATGAAAGGTTTATCATTTTTATCATAAGTGTATTTTAAATGATGGAGACAGAATATCAACCAAAAATCCAGAAAAAACAAATGATACAAATGTTATAAATTGAGTTGCAGTTCAGTGAGTAAAATAATTATTTGATCCCCAAGCAAAACATGACTTAGTATTTGGTGGAGAAACCCTTGTTGGCAAGCACAGAGGCGAGACGTTTCTTGTAGTTGGTTACCAGGTTTGCACACATCTCAGGAGGGATTTTAGTCCACTCTTCTTCATAGATCTTCTCTAAATCCTTAAGGTTTCTTGGCTGTCGCTTGGCAACTCGAAGTTTCAGCTCCCTCCATACATTTCCTATAGGATTAAGGTCTGGAGACTGGCTAGGCCACTCCATGACCTTAATGTGCTTCTTCTTGAGCCACTGCTTTGTGTCTTTTATATACATAATGGGTTGTTGTTAGGAGCACCTTCTTCAAGTGACAGGACTAATCTCTGTACCACATAGCCAGTCTGTGGGAGCCAGAATTATTGTTGGTTGGTTGGATCAAATACTTATTTTACTCACTGAACTGCAACTCAAACTATAACATTTGTATCATTAGTTTTTTCTGGATTTTCGGTTGATATTCTGTCTATCATTTAAAATACACCTATGATAGAAATTATTATAGACCTTTAATTTCCTTGTAAGTGGGCAAACTTACAAAATCTGCAGGTGATCAAATCATTATTTTCCTCACTAGTTAAAAAAAAAAAAAAATCTACGCCATAAATATAACCCAATAATTCAGTAACCATGTACTAGTAGAGAAGTAAGAATATCTATCTATCATCTCACGTACACCAGGTAAAACCTTGCATTTTATAATGCTGTTTCCACATTGGAGAGGTTATCCTTTCCTTTCCACTATCACTGAGACTGGAAGTGTTTGGAAATCTCATTAAATAAGATGATAGCTGCAATGAGCACACTTTTTTTGTAAAGTGTAGACACAATAGTACCTCTTATGTATTTTTTTTTTTTTTTTCTTTCTTTGTCCTCATTTGGAAGATGTCCCCAAACTGCCTGTTCTGCAATACCCTGTGAGTTTGGGCATTCTAAAGCAAAATAAAGCATGACTGGGCCTGAGGGACAGTAAGATAGAAAATCCCCATTTGTAGTACAACTTGCACAACATATAAAATATGCATCAATTGAGTCCCTACAACTTACATTGTCATCTATGTATAGAATAATTGCATAATGATGTTTAAACATTTTCCCCTCTTTCTTTTAGTTATAATTGATGGTGTGGAATGGAATGATGTAAAGTTCTTCCAGCTTGCTGCACAGTGGTCTTCTCACGTCAAGCACTTCCCCATCTGTATATTCGGACATTCAAAATCCAACTTCTAGCCTTTTACTACAGGGGTCTTGTCACTGCTGCCCTCTTTTTCAAGCCTGGATGTTTGGATACCCCACGCTAACTAGTGCCAACTATTATCTCAAACTGAGATCCATCCAGCTACTTTCCTTTGCTTTATTTTTTTACTATTGTTTTTAATATTGCTCAGATTATTTAAAGCTAAGCTTGAAGTTACATTTTTGTATTTTTTAATTTTACAACCAAGGGAGGACATCGTCAAAATGAAAAGTCTTAAACATACTGCTTACCCAGCAGTAATATTGGTACTCCATTAACCAGGGAAGAAGATGCACTGCTAACCAACGTGTTACGTGTTTGGTGAATATTGGGATAGTTTGGTGATTTTAGTGTGCGTGTGGGAATTTTAGTAGGCCTACGATTGAATGAAACCAGTACTTTGCTTTACATGGTTTTGCACTTTGTTGAAATTTTCGGCCAGGACAGATCCGTTTGTCTGTTACATTGTTTGTGATGGGGAATGATATGCCTCACAACTACTCCGAATTCTTTGGAGCAGCTGCATCTTAACCTTTGTTGCTGCTAAGATGCTTTTGTCACTTGTCAAAGCTTTGAAAGTGAAGCTCGAGCCATGTCATTTTCCAGATAGGATTGGCACAATAATTCAGAATAATTTATACTTGTTCTATTTATATTTTTAACAAAATGAGGGCTCTTAACATTATGAGGAGATGTACTAACATTATTTTTAATGGAATTGTTTGATAAAGCCACTTAAATTGTGTTCCTCAACTTAAACACCTTGGTATAGGACTTATGTTTGATCTGACTTCACTGACTCAGTGGTTTAATGTATGCTTATAAACTAGAGTTCACTTTTTCCTACACATAGTGGTTACTATCTTCATACTGCACTCTAGGACAGGGCTACTAAACTTCTCCTATTAAAGGAAAGACGTGTTGTAACCCTTGGAATTTGCTTTTACTGTTGGTTTGATATAGAAAAATAACATTGTGACTACTGGACCTTAAAACATTTTCTGAAGATCACTAATGGTATCATGGTGAAAAACTAATGACAACATAAAAATAACAGATTACGTTGCATTTCAAATGCTTGGATCACTGAGCAGGATCGCTGACGGCACTGCAAGCAGATGCTGAGCAGTATTTATTACAATAGGCCACTTAGATATTCCTTTTCAGCTAAAGATTCAACACTTGCCACTCTCTTCAGTTTAGCTTAGCAGTGTCTGATGTTTCAGTACCAGTAATGATTTCTTTCATTTTAACCTTGCAGATTAATTGCCCGTCATCACTAAAGCATGGAAGATGCTTCAACAATAGCTGTGTAGGACATTTGGTAGTGTGAGCAGTAGAATAGATTTGGGGGATAACTGAAAACAAAGGAGTATGATTTGTGGTGTCATACTCAGAAAATGACCACCAGCACCTCTTAATCTCTTTATTCCTATGCAGGTGTCCTTGCTAAAATAAAAACGTTTAAACTGTATAATCTAGAATACATCAATAAATATAGTAGCATTTGCCTTTTAGAGAGCTTAATATGAAATAACATAGCACAATATTCTGGGAGTCACAGAACAGTGTGTACCATACCATCACCAAACAAACTTTATTGACCGAAGTCTCTGCTTGGTTACTGTCAGTAAGTGTCTTGAAATGATGACATTTCATAATATCAGCAATATTATCCAGTGGCTGTAGGATTACTCAGCAAGAACATGCCTTTTATAGAGTGATGAGAATGCAAAGGAGACTACTTTACATACTGTGTAATGACAAAAATGCCTTTTTGGTTTTCCTGGGGAAAAAAATGTTAATATCGTATGTTTATCCAGATTTGCTCCCCAATGAATAAAATGACTGACAGTAATTATTGTTAGCACTTTATATTTGGCTTTGTGTCTTTCTTGGTGAAATTATCAGTTTCTTCATTGAGTCGCTGTGATGAAAATCATTGTTTGAAATTAACTATGCAAATTAAAGTAAATACATTTTCTGAACAAGACGTAAAAACACTTCAAAACCACCCCTCGTTCACTATAGGCATTGTGTAGAAATTATTCTTCAGTAATTCCAGAACATGGACTTCACAACTCCTCTCCCTTTGTAAGCTGCTAAAACAAACTGAAATCTGACTTCAGTGCACATTTTTTTTTGGGGGGTTGCTTTTGTTTTGGGGGGGGGGGGGAAGAATTACTTTACAGTACATGCAGCTGCAGAGATAAGCGATGGCTTGTTTGAAATCTCCTTTACGGCTTGTTAAAGGCTAACTTTATTTTTATGACCATGTTTCATCCATGTCTGTGTAGCATAAAACATGGTCAGGGGACAATCTGTCCATGGACGGAAGGAAGAGTCTGCAGGAGTCAGAGCATTGCACTAACAATCCACTGATTTTACGCCAGTCTTTGTGTTAGGAAAGCAAGCAGAATCTTACCATCTGTGACCCCCACAGAGGTTCTAATACCTCAAATTGATTCTTGGTTAATTTGCCACTGACTCGGACACAAGAACCCACTGGCTGTTTTCTCCACATATCTCCTGCCACATATTTACTCACCAAACAGTCTACCAAGCACTTTGACACATTGTTTAAGCCCTAATGAAGGGGGAAGTTTGGCCCCAGAAATGCTTTTGATGCCAGTTAATCGCTTGTAAAATCAATAAAGTACTTTTGGACTTTTACATTTTGTTTTGCCACTCCCATTGGGTTTTTACATGATTTCTAAATATGGGTGACCCCTACCTTTTTTGAGGGTCCTCCTTCCTAGGGTCAGCTCCACTGATTTCAAGACTTAGCCACCAGTCCAGCCAAAGAGTGCAGTTATTTTTCCCAGCGGGCAGCCTGGTCGTGTTTCTTTGCTTCTGGGCCCTTAGGCTTTCCAGCCTAAGCTCTGGTCTGCCACTGCGGAGCAGTAACCAACTGATTGGCTGCTTCTGCTGTTCCTCCCTTTTACATTCTAAACTCCTTTGTACAGGAATTGACAGAGGCTGATTCCAAATTCAGGTACTTACCCTGCTTGCATTTTCATATACATTTTATAATGTTTCATAATTATACATAACTCCATTAATGTGCATCTTTTTAGATCTGCCTGGAGCTCAGCTTGCAAATGCATCATAGCTATTGTTAACTACCACATGCTGAATTTGGCTTGTTTTCCCACCCTCGGCTTATATTTGGGTCAATACTTTGTCCCAGTTTTTTGTGGTAAAATTAGGTACCTCGGCTTATATTCGAGTATATACCTAAACTCAATTAAGTTTCACTTTTACAGTTTTATAACAGTTCATAAAAATATATTTTAATTCTTACCATTTGGAAATGATGTCACCTTTTTCTTTCAGCAGTAGTCTTACTATAATGCTTCCATATCTAAGCTGTTAGATGCCGGAGAATTGATTTCTAGTGCTAGGTATCATACGTTCTCTGATGCACACACTGAGACCCTGCTAAACAGATTCTTCTGTACTGCTGACTTCATCTATGAGCCAATCCGCGAAGGAGAAGCAGGCACAGGTTGACATTTATTTAAACACTGTACCAAGGTATGTGAAGCTGGGAAAGGGATAGGGTCTTGTGTTTTGGAAAAAGGTGACCGAGGGGGTTAGGTATGTTTTATATTTAAAACAAACTAAGTTATTGTCTTCAGAAAAAGTGTCATGTTCTCCTTGCATTCATAATCACAAAAAGAGAAAGATGGGGTTTTCAAAGGTACCAAATGACAATTTCAAGACAATTGAAGATAAAAAAAAGTATCTTTATTAAATAATGATTAAAAAGTTAATTGATATCAAATTCATTCATGAAAACCTCCAATCAGATATCTCCTAAGAGACTCACTCCACCTCCAGATAACCAGGTCAATGATATATGATTGACTTAGGACAATAAACATGATGGAATTATTTGAAATAAAGACACGATTAGTGCTTAAATTATTCGGAGTGGAGGAGTCACGTAGTTTCCCAACGTTTCACACTAAAGAGCGCTTCCTCAGGAGATGGAGGATATCTGCATAATTGGAAAAAAAAAAATCAGTAGACATGATGTGCAAAACCAAAGTTGTGTAATGAATAAATAACCAGGTAGGAACAGCAACGACCGATTGAACAGGTTGACACGTGTGCATCTGAACGGACCGATCCGGGCAGAACCCAAAATCAGGGGAAGAGAGGAATGAGGACCCCCGCCCCACAGGCAAGCAGTAGGAGATGGGAGGCAGAGTCAAAAAGAACCTTGGATCAACAAGAGAGAATTTTTTTTTTTTTTGGCAGGGCTGTTTAGGCCACATCATCCATTCACAGATCCTTTGACAGGATCTGTGAATGGAGTAAATACTAGTCCCATTTGTCACCACACCATTATTCAATTATTATATGTACAACCTGCTGATCATTCTTATGTAATATAAGATATATAACTTATAGCAGGGTTTCGCCGAGACCAAGGATCCTCCATAGGAAAATGTTTGAGAAAGGCTGCTCAGAAAAGTGGAAGTTCCACAATTGCTTACTTTCATGACAAAACTTTTCTTTTAGAATAATCATTCTATGCTTCCAATAATCCATGGCATTGGAGCTGTAGCCAAGCACACTTACATAAGCAATTAAGGCTTACAGTTTTTGGTTAATTCATTTCAAAGTTTAAAAATATACCACAGGGCTGTTGTTTTCTTTTGTAATTTGTTTATTGCTTTTAAAAGGGTACACAAATGCAGTTTCACATGTAGGTTTAACATAAAAATATATAATCATTACAGTAGTGATACTTGTTACTTTATACTCATTAACCCCTTCTTATTTCACCCAGTATGCATAGATATTAAGCAAGCTGCCCATTGTAGTATCTTTATATACAACTGATCTTTAAAGGAATAATACACAAAATCTAACATACGTCTATCGTTTATAAGAGCTCAAACCAATACTTAAATATTATCACAAGTTAACAAAATATGAAAACTTTGCCATTTATTGTGCTATTCAAGAATAAAATATACTGAATATGTTATAGCTACACTTGGCAAGGTCTTCCAAAGGCTAACCCTCATCCATGTTCCAATGTCCAGGTAAGACATTTCCCTTACATGCAGAAGATGCATTTATTGCTGTTTACTAAAAATAGTCTTGCCAATGAGTATTGTTTCTCACTAAAGCAAGAGATGAGAACTAAAAAAAATGTACTTTTCATGACATATATCTTGTTTTTAATGTCTGGACTTGATAAAGTCTACAATTATTTAAGTCCAATAATTACAGAAAGCCTTTTAAAACAATTACTGAAATGTTAGTCTAGTGTGGGTGAGAGGAGAAGAAAGCCTTTTCTTGAGGTTCACACTTGCAGCCATAGACAGAAATACGTATATTGCTAAGAAATTAGTGCAAAACAGTTTTGGTGTTTAATTTTCAAACTACAGGTACGTTGGTTATGAAAATTTACAAATGAAACTGATTATATTAGATATACAATTACAACTTTTTTTTACATTTTCAGCTACCTATAATAAACAATTCAGTTATGTTACAGAACATAGATATTAAATTGCTAGCGAGTCACAATCATCAACTTTAAAGATCTTTTCGGTCACAACCAAGGCACACCTTGATTAGAGCAGACACACCTAGCCAATCATCCCTGGGGGGTGTGAGGGAGGCGAGTAAGAATTCATTTGCTTGGGTTGAATTTTCCTGGCCTGTTCCTTTTACATGGACCTGTTCATGCAATATAAGCTTACATGCCTATGCATCTATCACACAAAAATATGTAATATAACAGATAACAGCAATGTGGATTCAAATGTTTTGTTTCCACAAGCATTGTAGAGCACCGATCACAGGCTAGCGGAGATAAATAGAACTTCCTTTGCAGGTCTCTAACAGACAAAATATTTCAGTGCAGAATCATTA